ACCCCCCTCTTTAAAAGCCGAAGATCCGGATATCGCTACCCCTCTTTTTGCAAAATTCCCCCTCAAAAAGTAGGAAAATTTTCTAGATTTTAGAAAATCTTTTTTCTAAAACTAATCCATTTTTTTCCTCTGTGAATGTGATTCCCATTCTGTTCCCATTCTTTTGTTTGTTCCTTCCGTTTTCTACTTTTCAATTTCTTTTTCCTGCCTAAGATAAATGATTACCAATATACGAAATGATATCCATCTCTGCAGAAGGGAACATATTTAGTCAAACACTTTCTTATCGTTTTATTTGTTATTGAATGAATTGAAATTGGAACGAGGATGGAACAAGGCTGGATGGAACATTGACGTCTATACTTGAATCAATTTTGGGTTCGACAATGGAATAAAGTTTCATTCCGTCCTGGATCTTCTAGCCTTGAAGAACAAGATTATTTCAACTTTGGAATAAGGCTTGAAGGAACATGGACGACTCCAGCTTGGATCAATTGTATGGTTCAACGGTGGAAACAAGCTTGATTACACTGTGGGTCACTCAGTCTCGATATTCCATTCTGGACCAGCATGTTTCCATTGTCAAGGTGGACGTTTCTCACCTGGGGCCATAACGATCAGGTGAATAATTATATATTCTAAAGTGGAATATGGCTTGAAATAAGTCACTTTTTCATCTATTACTGGTCATAAAATTTTTTTTCTTTGTCATTTACGCATTGCTTCCGGAAACGAATTTTTCGAGAGAAAAATTACTCGTTTAACGAAGAACCACTCTAAAATAATTATTGTTCTTTGGTGAAAATATCATTAATTATGTCCCCAAGTTACCCTTAAAATTTCAGATAAAAAAAAATAAAGTTTTCGAGTAATTGCAGATTGAAAAAAAAATTTGATTTTACCATAACGGCTCTAAAAATTGAATAAAATGAATTCAATTGCGTTCATTTTGAAGATTGTGTGGAAACGAAAAGTCGATTCTTAATGCTTAATTTCAATGATTTCGGTTTTTTTCCAAACAATCCAAATTCAAATGGAAAAAGTGAAATTTTTTGAAAACTCATAACTCGCTGAAAAAAATCGTATCGCTCTAAAAATTTTATGAGAGTTTGGTCTTATATACTCCTAAGACAAAAATCGGCAAGACAATCGGGAACATGACATTGTTTTCATTTCGGTCTCCACGTGAAATTGCTCAAAATGAATTTCATGCTTTCTATAGAAGTGCGGCTGTATCTCTCACATGAGTCAGATTATTCGGTCCATGATTTTTTTAGAGCCATTTATTCCAAATTCGATGGAAATGGAAATTCAAATTTTATCCAGGGATGGCCATTGGCCATGAATATTATATTTCTTCAATATTAGAAGGATTTGCGACTTACATTGATAAATTTTTAAATATACTCGTCAGAATTAAAAAATTATATAATATTAATAGTTTAAATTACCAACAACGGTGGCTGTGTGGTTAGAGTGCGGGATTGGCATGTGAGAGACCCGGGTTCGATTCCCGACTGGGGGGGCCAAAATTTTTGATAATCTAAATCTCATGATTTCATTGTCGAGCGGGAGTATCGCAAGAGACGACTGTACCTGGGCAGGTTTTTCCCTCAAATGAGGTTTTCCCTTCCTTCTCCTTAACAACTCCCAGCCATGTATAACGGTCATCACAACGGTTTTAATAATTTAATAGAAAAGAAAGAATCATAACAAAAGTCTAATCCGTTCTGTGCCGACGTTTCGAACTCACTAAGAGTTCTTCATCAGGGCAAATTTATTCTAATAGTCCAAATGATGTTATGGACAGTAAATAATTCTAAAAGATACCAACATATTTAAAATTGGCTGTTGACAATTGCCAATGCTTCTCATAACCTGCATTAGCTATCACAACACAGACTAGACCGTTATGGCTGGGAGTTGTTAAGGAGAAGGCAGAATTTAACACGATTGAATGGATATTAAGAGAAGGTTTTCCCTTGTCCTTCAGCGAATGCGGTACAGGGGGTTGGGGGGTGAGAAGCGAACAAATCGTAAAAACCCGAAAGGGTATACGAGGAAAAAAATAGTTTAAATTTCCGATTGATGATGAATCAAATATTTGATAATATAGAAATGTAAATTTTCCATTAAGTGAATATTTCTAATTTCTTAAAAGGGATTATCGATTAACCAAATAATCGGCAATCTTCCTACCTAAATTACATGGTCCGACAAAATACGCGAGGGTTCGGGCCAGAGGATGAAACTTATGCTACTCGATAGATTTTTCGACGCAGAATCCTAATCTGTTTGTTAAAATGCGCTCAAACGTATAGTGACTGAGAAAAAAAAATGTTAAAGTCGAAAAAATGAGCGCAATTGATCAAGTTCAAAAAATAAAAGTCAATAAATTTTCCTTCTATTGAGCCCGGGAAAATACAGGAGGCTCGGGATTCTCAGAAATATGGAGTGGAGAAGAGTATATGTGAATAGATTTCCCCGTAATAGTATGAAAAAAATTAAATAAAAAGAGAAAAATGGTACATTTTGGGTGGATTTGAAGAAAGAGAGGCAATAGTTTTTTCTCGTTATGTAGGATTTGGAGCCAATTTAAAAATGTTGGGAACCAAATTTTTCAGTATAATCGGCAATAAAATAATAAATTTTTCAATAGGACTCCAATGGAATTTTCCAGTAGATGTGCTAGATTTTTCTATAGAATTTTCGCGTACGTGTTCATGGAATTCAAGTATTGGAATCATTTATGCATTATAATGAATAAATGATTTCAATACTTGAATTTCTACTCAAATCAAAGTTTCATCCATTGAAATTGTCAGGTTAAAACCCACGTGGGAAGAATAATTTGAAATTGACTCCAAATCCTGTACAACGAGAAGAAACAATTACCTCCCTTCCTTCAAATCCACCCAAAATGCACCATTTTTCTCTTTTTATTTTATTTTTTCAGCCTCTTACGGGGAAAGTTATTCATACTCTTCTCCACTCCATACTTCTGAGAATCCCGAACCTCCTATTTTTTCCTCGGCTCAATAGAAAGAAAATTCATTGACTTTTTATTTTTTGAACTTGATCTATTTCGCTCATTTTTCCGACTTTAAGATTTTTTCCTCAGTCACCATACATTTGAGCGCATTTTAACAAACAAATTCGGATTCTGCGTCGAAAAATCTATCGAGTAGCATAAGTTTCATCCTCCGGCCCGAACCCTCGCGTATTTTGTCGGACCGTGTTATTGATTAATAAAATAGTTAAAATTTGAATATTTAAATTGATGATTACTTGAATAATTAAAAGTTTAAAAGTAATGTTGACTAATTGACGGCTTCAAAATTTAACGGTAATTATGATTTATAAATCTGGCTATTCCTGGTTTTACCCCGCATTTCATTCTGCCCAACGTTATGGCGAATGTTTATTCTTTTTCCATCTGCATAACACAATTATAACTGATAATATTGTAAAACAAAGAAACTCGTTCTCAGTAATGATGCGCGATTATCGATTTCGATAACTTGAAGAAATGTTTTTTCCGGTTTCATAACATTACGCCGGTTACCTCTTGATTTAAAGCCTTTAAAATATATGTGTTTTTCGATGGAAGAAATTTGTTGTGAACTCGAAGGCTCGAAAGAAGATAAAAACATATTTTGGACACGAAAAACACAACATGAAAAAAATTATCTGGTTTTTTCGCAAAAATTTAGAATTTTTAACCATTTTTATAAGAGAAAATTTCAAGGGAAAGCTTCAGGACAAAGCTCTGCTCAATATGTGGAACCAAGGGGGAAACTTTCAGCTTGATATAAAATTTGGCAGAACGTCACGTACGTAAAAATTTAATAGAAAAACCTAGCGATTCCGCTAGACAATTTTATTGGATTTCCATTGAACTTTCTATTAGTTTTTTATTAGTTTTTGAACGATTCTATTCAAATGGTCAACAGAAAATATTTTACAGAAAAGTCTATAAAATACGATGTTTCTACAGAAATTCCTCGGTTCAAAATTTCCAAGTTTTTTTCATGCTATTTTTTCTTCTTTTCATCAAGAAAATCAAACAAGAAAACTTGGAAAATTTGAGCTGAGAAAATTTTATAGAAGATATCTCAATAGAATAAGTTGTATAGACAAATTGAATTCTATTGACTTTTTCTATGGAGTATTTTCTATAGGGGAGGATGGGGTAAAAAGGACATTTTGGACTTTTTTAAAATTACTCATAACTCAGAAACAAATTTATCAATTGAGCTCAGTTTAGGCTCATTACAAAGGGAAAGAAATGTTGTTTGTATTGAAAAAAAAAAAAATTATTGGATTTCATCAACATTTCAAGCTGTCATTAACATTTAAAAAAAGTCAAAACTGTCCATTTTACCCCCACCTCCCCTAGATTTGAAAATCTGACAAAATTAGGTAAAAGGAAATCTTATTCAATTTAATAAAATAAAATAAACAATAAATTACACATGATAGATGGAAATGATGTGCAAAGTAACCATTCGGAAGCATATTGCTAATTTATTAGCAAAAGTAACACAATGTAAGAGCAATTTCCCACTTGTCTTTTTTCAAAATGTTCGTTAGATTCCATAGAATAAAACTGTATAGGTATTTTCTTCCGGTTTTCTCAATTAGATCATAGAAAAATGAAATTTTTTCAGTTTACTAATTTTTTTACTTTTTTCATACCTTATAAAAATTGTTATTCTGAGTAGTTAAACATCAAAATTTTTCTCCTGAAATAACCTTTCCTATACTATTTTTCTTCGGAGTCTACTTCGAAGAATAAATTATTAACGTTTCATCAGATTCTCACAATACGTCGAACTCCTCACTAACATACGTCCGTGTACGTCAAAACAACGTCACAGAAGTGTCACCTATCCATTCGGGTTCAGTTGTGTGACTGTTATATATATATATATATATATATATATATATATATATATATATATATATATATATATATATATATATCAGACGCTCAACATTCTCCAACAGCACTGGACACATACTTGTGGTGACTAAACCGTTGTCCACAATTCTTTCAGCATCAAATTACTGTTAACGTGGAGGAAAAAAACGAGAGATACAATAATCTGAAGAGGTCGGGTTATCTGAATTGCATTTACGAGGGGATATACGTGCAAAAGAAAATGAACTAGACGAGTTAAATGCAGACAAAACATCAGTAAGAGGCTGATACTATCGCAGACGGGAACCACCGTTTATTTCATTAGGTTGATATATTTCAAAAGGATTAACAATTTGTGAGAGTGTTGGAGAATTGTTGGATGCATGAAGGTGCTCGAGGGATTTCTTTACTAACAGAAAAGTGGAATACCAAGTGTTCTAAATGGATCATGACCTAACCTATAAAACTCTACTCAATAGTATTATTCCAAACAAACTTTTCAACGATATGGCTTGTGAGGCTTGTTCGACCAAATTTACGTTGTTTAAAAGGAAAGTAAGTAATTTAAATGGTATTTATCAATTTTTTAGCTTGTTCTTTTCGTGAGATACCTGAGCAGATCAGTACGATGAATAATGTACCTGCCATTCAATGCGGGAATGTTATCCAAGCCACTGATATTCAGAATCCTTCGATAATGGGGGGGACTTAATTACGAAAGAACTGAAAATTCAATAAACTTAGACCATTGAGTAACGACAGCTAGGAAAAAGCCAAGGACAACAATATTTAACCACTGAAGAAATTTAGTGAACTTGTCACTCCACTCATTTTTTGAAATATTGATTGCTGATGCAATCACATATTTATTGATCCATCATACTTTTCTACAATATTCCTTTTTCATTATAATTATGATACCCTATATTTCTTCAATTACAATGAAAGGAAAATTTATAACACTGGGAGGCACACGTGCGTGTTTTATCATATATTGATATGGATTTCTTTTTAAATTGGGAGTCCAGATGGGAGGTCCAGGGTGAGGACAGAATACGAGAAATGGGTGTTGGACAAATGGCTCTGAAATTACTTTGCTAATATCTCCGAAAAGGAGAAGCTGAGAGAAATTCAAATGACCCTTTCTGATGCGATGCTTACAAATGTTAATTGTTAACGGGCAGAGGTTCCAGCCTATCCGACAGAAGGCATGCGACCGTAACTTTTTGCCATTAGTCTCTTTCTTTTTTTTATTTCTACCAATTCCATTGGTAGTAACTAAACATTGTATAAACGGATACATATATTCTGATTGATCCAAATAGTGACTGCCGAGACGACTGGTTTGAAAAAAAAATTGAAATTCGGCAAGTAGTTAATGAGATATTTGAAGAAATATATTTACACAAAAGGGTGCATATCTCGTCCAAAATACCAACCTTCAGTATTGTAAGAGCTATAATCATAGCAAATTTGAACTTGTTATCCCCATTTTTTCTCAAGTTATCGTGCGTATAATATTTTTTATGAAAAACGGCAATATCTCCAAACTGTGTATTGAAGAGTCTATATATTCTATATTCTGTCTATATATTCTGATTGACGTACTTAGAGGCCATCGAACCGCGTATTTGGAAAGAAAAATTTGAAATCAGTGCAGTAGTTTTTGAGATATTGAGGAAAAACGAAATTTAAACAAGTTGTTATATCTCAGGAACTACTGGACCGATCGGCCTGAAACAGCGTGCCAAAGTTGAGCTCAATAATAGCTACAAGGAGCCAAAAGTTCCGATTTTTATCTACAAATTTCACCGTATTTATGTTGAATATTCTAAAAATTAATCACCAAATACCCAAGTTGTCGGATACAGCCAGACAAGACCTTAAAAACATCATTTTTTCACGTTTCACAACATTCAAGACCATTTGCAAACAAAATTAGAAAATCGAAAAAAGGGTCAAAAACAAGGCCTTCATTCGGAAGCAAAAACAAACATTCAACTGTTTTTCGGGTATTTTGATAATTGCAAGCGTTGTGTGAAGTCTGCAATACGTCTGTGCTGGAATCTCCTATAGTCCAAACAAAACTTCTTTTCTCGCATGAACTTAGTTTCAGGTAACGAGTTTCCATGGTTTCTATTGTCAAACTGTTGATTTGTCAATGAACACAAAGGAAAACCATTTTTTCCAAAGGGAAAAGAAATTTCGACCCGACTATAAAGGCTACTGATTTCCGAGATATTTGCATGACATTTTGCGATTTATCGAGTTCCATTACTGTGCTATTGAATTAACTATTTTCGTTCATGTCGTTGCAAGTTTTATTAAATAGAGCTTCTGGAAAGGATCAATCACTCGAAAAAATTTCTAAATTGGTCATTATGAAGTTTGAATTTAGGATTTAGTGATGAAGACAAACTCATCAACCGAAGTAGTCTATTTCTACTATTTACCACACTCAGTGTTTATATTGTGTCAATGAGGGTAATTCGATCATCTCCTTCCCAATTCATTGGGAACACAAGAGGACAATTCTCGACATCTGGTTGCATTCACAATTATTGAATAATTTTTATAATTCCAGAGACAATGCAAAGACTGTCTGAGATTCTACTGCACAGACTGTGTGATACGACGTGGCGACAGAGTGTTGAGCTGTGATAACTGCAGTATGCTCTCTCGGAGACCATTAATCAGATCTCAGGTGCTAAAGATGAAGTCAAAAGATCTTAAACAGTATCTCATTGCAAAAAAAGTATCACTAAGGGGATGTGTAGGTAAGACAAAAAATATTCCATCATTATTTGCGTTTTTACAACAGTGTAAAGAATGCGTTTCTCTATAATAATGGAATTTTGTTGGTGACGATTGATTGCATGATAATTTATGGAACGATCTTTTTTGTTCAAAAAATATCTTTCGAAATTTGTCACCAGTTGCATGAAACTCTGTTAGCCATTAAAATTCGGGGGTTAAATCCCCCTGAGGAATGAATTATACCTGAGAGTCGAATGATTTTTAATCTTTGACCTAGTGCTTTTCAGTTTTTGGATAGCTTTCTCTGGGCGTCTATCGAAAGTTTTTCATTTTCTATAGTTCATTCCAATTTAGCAAGTAGAGTCTAGTACAAAAATGATATCGCTACCACATATAGATATTGAAGGCTTGATTTCTTTCATGATTTCAGAAAAGGAAGATTTAATCAACATTTTAATGATATATGCGAATGGAGCTGACAGCCAAATGAGCAACGAAACGACTGAAACTATTCCAAATAATCAACAGTACGTATGATGTAATTTCAAACAATTTTTTAATGATCAAAACGAATATGTGGCCTATTAAATATTCACATGTTTAAAAGCAGAAGATCGCAAAGGTCAAAAAGATATTTTCCAAGCTTCTTAAGGTATATTCCTAGAAAACACGTTTTTCTCAAGATTGTCCTCATGTTTTTCATAGATAATGTTTATAATAGTCCCTAGCTATTGAAAAAAATACTAGCTAGCTGTACTACACAGTTTAGGAGATAATAAATAATGAAATGTGAGCTTCCAACATTGAACTCGAATTTTCCATCTTATGTGAAAACGGTTCTTACAATGTTCTTAAACAACTAATCCGTGATAGATAGATAAATTCCGAATACGGTAAATGTTTTGTAAAATTTTGTGCTACATAGTTTCTGCGATATTCAGTTCTAAAAAATGTAAGTTTCGTGAAAGCATTCCTTATTTGATTCAAAAAATTAATTAATAAATAGTTTCTTATTTGATTCAAACAGTTATTGTTGCCTGCATCAATAACATATGACAATAGAAAAACTCAATAAATTATGAGAATGCAATCAATTAAGTTATTTAGAATTTTTTCTGGAAATCTATAGGGACTAATTTTTGGGTCCGATTGTCTTGGGATATACTTTGAAGCGAAAAGTTTAAATCTCCACTCATTTTTTCTGCAGTTCTCTAGTACACACATTTTCATATTGATTGTGAGTGCATATACGACCTTTTCCATTTAACTTGTATCCCTAAAGATGAAAAATTACCTAAAAGCAAAAGGTCGTAATGACGAAATTCTTCATGTTTCATTTTTTTCATATACGAAGATTTATCTTTAATTTCTATCATCAAAAATTGAAAATGACCTGAAAGCAAATCGTAATGATGGAATTTTTTATCTTTAATTCTTTCTTCTCCTGGACAACTTATGTGTGAAATCATTAATGTTATGAGTCATTTTCTCACTATCTAAATGAGCCGTCTCACAACAAGTCTGAAGCCCAAAAAATTTAAGGTCAAGAATTTTCTTACCATGTTTTTTCTAAAGTTGATATTAGAAGAATACTTTGAAAAAAAACTCTTAGAGAAATGGTAATAATTGTGGAATTTATGATTTTAGACAAATTTTTATTTTTTTTTCAGTTTCTTTTCAGAACTATTAAATTTCTCGTCAACATCTTCAAAGAACATGAAAAAACCTTCGAAATAAGAAGTCACTCCATGCATTCGGTTCAGTTTTACGCGATTTTAGCGCCAAAACGTTTTTTTTTCAATCCTGATTATTTCAAAAACCAAATTTTTTAAACCTATTTTTTTTCTAGTTTGCCTGTTAATATTGATACTTTAAGTGAGCAAACTACTGAAAATGATCGAAAATTACTGTTAATTTGTCAATTATCTCACGAATGAATGAATTCTTACTATAACTTATGTGTCAAAAGAAGAAATTTTCGAGATGTAGCAAACGGGGGAAAATGAAGCTTTAGGTCAAACAAGAACGTGGTACAAAATGAGAACCCCATGCATAGGGAGAGAGTGAGGCAAAATGAAAGCAGAAAAACGACTATTTGACGCAATTCAAGCAAAAAAAAAATTTTTTACCAACTTTTGTTTATTAACTTTTTTGTTATTGGAAGTACCGGTGAGAATTAGTGCATTTTGACATAAGGCCTAAATAAAACTTTTCTGGCGAATATGAGGTTGCAGCCCGAGCTGAAGGCGAGGTGAGGTTGCAGTCATATGAGCTAGAAATAGTATATTTCGGTCTAATGATGGAATATACAATTTTGTCATGACGGCCGTAGGTAGAGATTCACGGACGCGGAGCGAAGCGGAGCGAAGCGGAGCGTCCGTGAAACGCTGCCTTACGGCCGGACTGACAAAATGATTTTTTAGACCGTGTGTCGAATATTTTTTTTTATAACGGCTGTTTTGCCATAACACAACGCGTCCGTAAATCACTGCCTTACGGCCGGAGTGACAAAAAAGTCAAAGGATACTTTTTCTTAACTTTATCAGATTTTATTTATTTCCTTTCAGAAGTAGACAAAGACCAAATACCCTTCCGGATTCACCGCCAAGACGCTCAAGAAGTCCTCCAGTACCAGTTCGGGAAGTCATTGAAAGTCCAGACGAAGAAGTACCACCCTCATCACCTCCAAGAACTCATCCAGACATCGATATCATAGAAATTTCGTCTGAAGATGAACAGAGCCCGACGCAGGGACCTGAGCCAGTCGTGACTGAGCATGATCACGATCAGGAGACAGAAACGAACGAACCCACCAGTCAAAATGGCTCCAGAGAATCTCACAGTGATGAGACTTCACCAGTTTGCACGGAAATCCCCACAGTAAATATTTTTATCCCCTTATGTTTGACGTAAAAAGTCTGTGAATGGATTCCTATGAATCCCTGTGTTTCAAATAAGTTGAAAGTTAATGTGCACAATTGATTGTTGAATTAAGGCCTGGGTGTACTATCTTTCGAATGTTATCTCGATTTTTTCTATCTTTCGTAATCTAAAATTGCTAATTGAGTGGTACATCATGTAGAAATTCCTAAAAATTATAATAGAATGATAAAAAAAATGGAAAAAATTCTGAACTTTTTCAAAGAGCATTTTTAATTGAGATGCAGAATGAGTTGAAAAAAGTGGAAATTACAAATATCTGATTCGCTGTGGTAAATTATCTAATAGCTGTAATTTTCCATGGTGGATAACAAAAGACTAACTCCTCATGGGAAGTGACAGCTAGGTATCTCAATTTTCAAAATAGTGGTATGCAGTCATCTGCCATTTTTATGTGATAAAAGTGTGATTAAAAAATTCTGCAAAATTTTACAACTTTTTTCCAAGAGCCGTTTCCGTAATAAATGTCTCTGTGCAGTGTGGGAAAATATTTACGAAATCAGTCTTCCCCCTGCATGATATTGGGTGACAGGCCGCCATTTGTCACCCTAAATTAGATACATCTTTCAATTTCTTGTTATTCAACTTATTCTGTATATAAATTAAAAATGCTCTTTGAAAAAATTAAAAATTTCTTCTACTTTTTTTTGATTATTCATTCATAATTTTTCAAAACTTCTGCATGATGCAGGATTCAATTAACAATTTCAGATGACGAAAGATGAAAAAAAACATCGAAATAACGTTCGAAAGATAGTACCCGGGCCTTAAATGAAAAGAAAATAATCTCATGCCTTGCCGATTTTTTAGTGGACAGGAATTGTTAAAATTACGGATGTCAATGTACGTTCAGATCTGGAGTATTTGAATGTAAAACAGTTGAAAGATCTCCTCAGAACGAATCGTGTGGATTTCCGTGGATGTGTGGAAAGATCGGAGTTGTTGGACAGAGCGTCGAGACTCTGGGATGCTCACAAGCAGTCACGTGAAGGTACAAATGATTTTCTTTATTCACGATCGTACACGGAAAAAAAAGTTGGGACAAAATTTAGAGGACAAACGGTATTTTTTGGCAGACGTTGAGCGAAATGGTAGTTCAAGAAATTTCATTTGAAATCAAAGAAAACATGTAAGGCAATGGATTAATTTTACCTTTTGTAACATCATTCTTGACGAACCAACATTAAAATTTGTTAGTTGTTGGTGAAAAAAGTCCAGAAAGATGGACAAATTTCATAGTATTTTCAGCAATTTTTATTATACACCGTTTGGTACGTTTTTTACTGCATTTTCCTGGTAATTTTTCGTTTACTTTTCTCTCAGTGATTGAAGGATTCATTTATAGTTAGCAGCACAATGCGTTTAAGGTATATCCCTAGAAAACACGTTTTTCTTAAGATTGTCCCCGCTATTGAAAAGAATGCCGACTAGCTGTACTAAACAGTTTAGGAGGTAATAAATAATGACATGCGGGTTTCTAACACGCGAGGCATATATGTACAGGCCAAACGCGGGTTATGGGTCCCCCGCATCGATTTTTCCATCTTATGAGAAAACGGTTCTTACGATGTTCTTAAAAAATTAATCCGTTATAGATTGGTAAATTCCGAATACGGTGAATTTTTTGTCAGATTTAACTTAGATTTAACTTAGTTGAAAGTTATCATCATCATTATTCTTATTATCCCTTTCTTCTATACTACCAATTGTCTTCTTTGACAGCTCCATCTCTCCCCTCAGTCCTTCGATAAAATGTTAATAGAAAAATGTTATTTATACATATTTGAATGAATTTGAAACATGACAATTTGAAGAAACCATCAGAAAGCTCACTTTCAGGGAAATTCATGAAAAATTCGAAATTTTCAACAATCATCATACAAATAAAAACAACCAATAAAGCTATCGTAATCATCTTTTTAACTTCGACTTAATGGCATTAAAACAAACACTTTAAGCTATGGTTGAATTCATTTGAAGCATGATATCCAAAGATATCCCGGGAATTCTGATTTTCAAAAAATACAGAATTTTTGCAAATTTTCAAATAAGTCAAAATAACGATTATTGCAATCGCCTTCATTTCCGAACTCGGTCAAATGGATATCGAAACAAATTTTTTAAGCCATTATTCAATCAATTCAAAAAATTTTTTAATTATCGTGAAAAAAACAATTTTTGAAAAATTTTCAAAAATTAAAAAAATCATAAGTGAATTGAATTTTAATTAATGGCGATTGCTCGGGCTCAACAATACCCACATTTGAGAGAAAGCAAGATTCATTTTCTTTGATTTATTACTGATCAATCGAAGGAAAATTTGTTTACATACGTACGTCCATACATACATATGTACAAACACAGTCAAAAAATTGCATTTTCGGACTTTTTGGATCATATTGGGTCGATATAACACGAAAAAACCAAAACTTAAATTTGACTGCAATGCTTCCATTCAGAAGCAAAAATGGAAGAAACCGAACATTTTCAAACAGCGTCTTTAATAAAGATTGAGAAAAAAGTCCGATAAAGAGGAAATAGTGAATGGATAATTTACCAGCGTAACTAACCATCTAACAACCATTGACTACTGTGAAAAATGACGACCTAACAGCCATTAGATCCATCATATTATTAATTTGCAATTTCCTCCATATCGAGTTTATTTCCCAATATTATTCAAAAACGTTCTTTAAAAATGTTTAGCTTTTTTTCAATGTTTTTTTGATTGTACGATCATAATTTTTGGAGACTCCAGGGCTACGTAAAACTGAATAGCAATTGGAGATCATTTCAGATTATCAAAATAAAAAAAACAACTAGAATTACGTTCGAAAGATAATCCATCCGGGCTTTAAAGTGACTATTTAAAAAAAAAAATCGATCTTCTTCTAGATTGCACAGCAGCAGACACAAATGCTGCCGAAGGTCCCTACGAAGAAAGTTTATGCAAAATCTGTTGGGATTCTCCCATCGAATGTGTAATCCTCGAGTGTGGACATATGGCTTGCTGCATAGAGTGCGGGAAACAGATGAGTGAATGCCCAATCTGTCGACAATACGTTGTGAGAGTCGTTAGATTTTTCAAGGCATAGAACAAAAATAGTTACAAATAGAAAGGTGTTGCCAAAGGCAACACTAATACCATCATTAGAAATTGGAAAAAAACAAAGACAGAGATTCGTAAGAGCGCTGATTGTATATCAAAGATAACGAACAGTGAGATTCTCCTTTTACATTGTTTGTCACGATGAAAAACGTTTTTTGGTTAATGGTATTTTTTTAATTTTCTCCTAGAGAATCTTCTGTTCATTTTTTTCTAATTATTTTCTTTCTCTGTGCTTTATTGATCAATGTGATTGAACTGGTCTTCAAGGACATATCGAAGTACTAAAAACTTGTCAACGAAAGATGGATATAATGTTATAACAAAATAAAATTATTTATCGATATTTATTATGTTGAAACTATCACCTATCAAAATTGATATAGTCCAACTGAAATTCCTTCACCTTTGGGCGGCAATGTTCAAGTTGATCCCCTTCCCCGCCAGCGCATGCGCAGAAGGGCCGGTATGTATTAATACGCCAGCGGTGAATTCCAAATCGAATTCGAAATCGTATACGAACCATTACGGATTTTCCGGTAAACGGTGATCGAAGGATAGAAAGACAATGTAAACAGGAGAGAAAAAAATGAATTTTTCTATCCCTTTTGATTGTCATTGCTATGGGGAAGATGAATGAATTAACTTAACTTGACCAGCGATGCGCAAATTTGAAAAGATCGTTAGCATTGAGTATAACCAATGGGTAATCATTTTTTTCATAAAATACCACATTCTTATAAATTTCCCTACACAATCGTTCAATCAACACTCAGAGCTGATGAACAATTTTTTTAGGAAGGTTATTCATTGATAGGAATAAATACAAAACACGTGGGCCACTCGATTTGTTCTGTCTTCTTTCACGTGCTTTGCCTGATGTGCATCCAGGGAATGCACAGACTTTCCTCACCTTCCTTCCACTAACTAATAACTTTGGATAATTCTAATAACTCAAATAAAAAACGTCTGTCACTGTCATAATTCTAAGCCGAGGAGAACCAAACAAAAACACCAATGCACTCAATGGCTGTCATGTCCGTGTGGGAATGGGGAACCTTTGCGCCACCACAAGGTCACAAGCAGAACTACTATCCTTTTCAAAAGTGTAGTCCGCAAACTTTGAGGGGTCATATCTTTGAAAAAAAAAAATCGCACCAATACGGGACTGATCTCATTCTTTAGGTTCACTTCCTCTTGTCCAGTACGGAGTTTCATTTATTTTTATCGGATAGTTTTTGCGCTATCTCGTTTGAAATATGAAAAAACCCATGTTTTTCGGGTGCCGTGAGAGTTCATAAACTTCGGCCTTCTCTCAGCACTCCAATTTTGTTTCCAAAATTATCCCAATTTTTTATATGATAATTCACACCTTCAAAAATTGAGCAGTGGAGAAAAAAAAACGATTTTTTCAATAATTTTCCTTTTTTTTCATTAAAATATGACATGAGGCTATCTTCAATTGGAATCAACCCACGGAATTGAAAAAAATATCCTACAACGTGAAATGAAAAACTAAAAAGATTCCAATGATTTTTAATTATGTAAATTATTCCAAACATTTTATAAAAATTTTTGAATTTTTCCGGCAAACACATTATGATGTTAGCCGCAAATCCTCATGGTTTTACTATAGGGTTACCTTTCGGACCCGGAAAATCCTTTCCACATGTTCTGTTTTCTAGTTGTCCCAGGAGCGGGACAAGGAACTCGGGGGCTCTGAGAGAAATAACCGTTCTGAGTCCAATTTATTTTTGTAATATTGAGACATCGATTCAAACTCATAATTAAAATTTATAGATTGTCGCTGAAAAGTTAAAAAATATGAGATATCATGTGAACTCAACGTGATCAAAACGTACATTGTCGTCAATCAAATTTTGGAACTTTTGTAGTCATTCATCATGAATTCATATTTATGTTCAAATTATAAATCAAAACTATGCCATGGGATTTCCACTTCGGCCTCCGGTGACAATTTATTTTGATCCAATGTATTCACTGAAATTTTTAGAAAAAAATTAAAAAACTCCAATTTCAAAATTAGCCGTTTTTAGATATTTTTTAAGGTTTTTCTAAAGAAATCGACGAAAGAACGATAAAATAAAAATTGTCTCTATCTATATGGAGAGTGTGTCAAAAGATCTCCATTTTGTAAAGGAAAAAAATTAGGTTTATCGACTTATACAAAAATTACAAGCCTTTGAAAGGAAAATTTGGAGAAAAACATAACAGAGCTCGGAGGATGCGTAAAAAAATCTGAAGAAATTTGGGATGGCAGCTTATTCTATGTACGACCACAGAAAAAATCGACAATACGATTGACGATGATGAGGGTTTGACCACGTTCAGTTTCAAATGGAAAAATGAATGAACGAGTTTCGTACGTTTAAACAATTGGAGGCCCTGAAAAGGGCCGATGGATTAAATACCTGTGAAAAATAAACATTTTTTTTACAATTTTTTTTCAAATTCACAATTCTATTTATACACTTTTAAAGATGATTGTAATTCACAGATGTGATTTCACTATTTCATAAAAATCTCATTTATTCTGAAGTTGAACTTGAAAAATAAAGTGTTTCCTCGGAATCAGAGTCATCATCACTTACGTGAATAACAAATGAATCCACATGCATGGCCATCATGCTTTCTTTTTCATGATATTTATCCTCCAATTTCCGAACATGCTCCACACATTTTTTCCATAATTCTTTCGTCACTAAATTCATTGCATTCTCGCATAGTCGACACACGTCATTGACTTTAAAAGTATTATTCTGAAGAGCAAATCGACTTTTCACATTTGCCCAAATCAACTCAATAGCAATGAGTTCGCAATGAGCGACTGGAAGCCACAATAATTTTACGCCATTTTTCTTCGCGATTTTATCCAAAAGATAAGATTTCTCAAAAAAATGAGGTTTAGCTAAATTATAAAGTTGAACTTTCGTTAATGTTTGAAAGGAAATGATATCCCGTGGCAATGGTACATTTCTTTCAATTAATCATTGAATGGTGGCAGCTTTTGTCCACACCTTTGTTGAATTACGTTTTTCAGGATCGAGTGTAGTATGATATGGAGCTAAGTCAATGACGATTATCGATTTTGCGGGCAAGAGTGTCAAGGTCTTCGTAAACCACTCTGTGTAATACTCTGAATTCATTTCATTGTGATAATCCCCATCTTTCTTCCCAACAAAACAATCCATGCCTCCTTCTAAAAATCCATCTTCACTTCCAATATGAGTTATAATAACCCTCTTGCCTGCACCAGACGGAACTAGGAATCCCCCTCGCAAAGAAGCTACATGCTAGACTCGTGATCGGTAAAAATCAAAACTGTTTACATTTTCTTCGGATAAAGTATCTTCTACCCACCCAAATTTTTTCGTGTGATTAGCACCGCACCAAGTTTCATCAGTATAAAAAATTTGATGACCCCCGTCTCTATATTTTTTTATGTGATTCAAGAACTCTCGACGTTTTCGCACAATTTCTGGACTCTCCATGAGGATTGGTTTCCCATTATATGCTTTATATTTAAAATTCATCCGTCTAACTATACGCCATAATGTTACGTCACTCATATTGGGAAAATCGGCAACATCGTTTTTCAAATTTCTATGCAATTTTTCTATAGTCGGATGTTTTATTCACATAAAAATCTAGAATTTTTCTACGTATGACGCCAACGAAAAATTCATCACAAGATATGCGAGAGCGACCGCTTCTTTTCCGTGGTTCAGAGAGGAAACTGTACTTTTTTTTCAGCAATAACGCGTCTTACACTACGATCGGAAATTTCAAAACAATGAGCAGTCAATTCTGTAGGTGTGTTGGTGGAGATGAGTGAACCATTTTTTCTGTGTTCCTCCAATAAATTATATGTTGATAGAATGGCTTTTTTGTATCGTAAATCGAATTCCTGGCGGGATTTCCCCAACGATAACTTGCGTCGTTTTCAGGGAGGTTCAGAACTTTCCGATTCACTTTCTTCAGAGGCAACGATAAATTCCTCATTCCTATCCCGAAGATTCTGACATTCACTCGCATGCATTGGGGAATCTTCAACAATATTTATTTCCGTTTCAGCAATAATTGCCTGATTCATTGGCTCCGAAAAATTATTATTCTCTATAATCAATTATGATTCCGTGGAAGTATTCAATGCTTCACAAGGCGCGACCGTTTCTTCTACACTACACTGCAAACCCAAGTGTGTAAACCCCTATGTCATTTTAACACACTACACAGATGAGACANGAACTTTCGTTAATGTTTGAAAGGAAATGATATCCCGTGGCAATGGTACATTTCTTTCAATTAATCATTGAATGGTGGCAGCTTTTGTCCACACCTTTGTTGAATTACGTTTTTCAGGATCGAGTGTAGTATGATATGGAGCTAAGTCAATGACGATTATCGATTTTGCGGGCAAGAGTGTCAAGGTCTTCGTAAACCNCTTTCCGATTCACTTTCTTCAGAGGCAACGATAAATTCCTCATTCCTATCCCGAAGATTCTGACATTCACTCGCATGCATTGGGGAATCTTCAACAATATTTATTTCCGTTTCAGCAATAATTGCCTGATTCATTGGCTCCGAAAAATTATTATTCTCTATAATCAATTATGATTCCGTGGAAGTATTCAATGCTTCACAAGGCGCGACCGTTTCTTCTACACTACACTGCAAACCCAAGTGTGTAAACCCCTATGTCATTTTAACACACTACACAGATGAGACGTGTGTAGTTGAGTTTTCGCGTGTTTCCCTCCGTAGGAGTGCGTTAGACTCACACACCAAGTTGTACATGGCGTGTACAATGAACACATCGCTCATGCGTACAGAGCCTTACACATTGAAACCTGTGTTCGAAAATAACACGTTAAGGCGAACACACAAGAAGCGTGTGGAAAATTCGCAGTTGACTGTGTTTTACACACTTAAAATCNTGATATCCCATGGCAATGGTACATTTCTTTCAATTAACCATTGAATGGTGGCAGCTTTTGTCCACGCCTTTGTTGGATTACGTTTTTCAGGATCGAGTGTAGTATGATATGGAGCTAAGTCAATGACGATTACCGATTTTGCGGGCAAGATCTTCGTAAACCACTCTGTGTAATGCTCTGAATTCATTTCATTGTGATAATCCCCATCTTTCTTCCCAACAAAACAATCCATGCCTCCTTCTAAAAATCCATCTTCACTTCCAATATGAGTTATAATAACCCTCTTGCCTGCACCAGACGGAACTAGGAATCCCCCTCGCAAAGAAGCTACATGCTGGACTCGTGATCGGTAAAAATCAAAACTGTTTACATTTTCTTCGGATAAAGT